ACGATTTTTCTTTCTTTCTTTCTTTCTTTCTTTCTTTCTTCTTTTTTTTTTCCATCATTTTTTGACAAAGGAAAAATACACCCTCGTTGAAAAATAATCGAAATGTTAAACGAAAACGAAACGAATACGAGGATATTGTTCGCAGTTTTGCTCATCCGTTTTGTTCAGTCGGGGCGAAAAGTTGATTTGAATGGGTGGCGAACGTTTAACGCCTATCGCCTATGCATTTTTCGATCGCGAAATTGACGAGCACCGACGTTACTTTCCATCCCTCGTTGTCGTTGTAAACAACCAGAATAAAATTTCGTTTCCCCCGGAAATTCGCTTGAAAAATAATACATTTTCCCGTGCACGAGTGTCCGTAGCAGCGACAGGCCATTTTATATAGTATTCGAGGCTCGTTATAACATCGAAAAACAAAAGTATCGGCGACAACGTTCCAGTTTATGACGGCCAGAATATCGCAGGATTCCAATACATCGTTCGATTGATTGGAAGATTTAAATAATTATTGAATCCGATTGTCCGATGTTGTACCGAAAAAAAAAAAAAAGAAAAAAAGAAAAAAAAGTGTAGTCTGTTTGTCGAGTAAAATTGAAAATGAAATTACACGGGAGTTATTTCGATAAGGGGGATGAAAAATTATATACGCGCTCGCGTATATTTGGTTGATGCGTGATGATCGATCACTTATGCGCGTAAATCTACGTAATTTTTGGATCCCTGAAAAATATTCAAATATTCCCTGAAATTTCTTCCATCTTCTCACTCTCGTCTCGATTGTATTTATTCGTATTATTTTAAAAAAAAAGGAATCTCTAATTACAAGAGAAGTAATAATTGATTGAAATATTGATATTTTAATTTGAAATATAAACGTGAAAAATGAATAAAGCAAAGCTGATAAAAATCCCACGGGAGCGTAAATGTTATTACGTACTCGTGAATTCGCTCCATTTTATTTTTTAATTATCTCTAGTTGTTGCGTCGCATAATTATTCTGAAATTCGATGTAATTCGAGATCGTCGTCGAAAACGACCATCTATTATCCATTGTTCTTTTTTTCTTTTTTTTTCCTTCCCCCAATTCGTATGGTAATTCGATCACATATTAATTAGAAACGGCCTTGATTTTTTATTTACCACGGAAATAAAAAAAAGAATCGATGATTGGAAAGGGAAAGGATAATCACGTGTCATTAAATATGATAGGGAACAACACGCGATACGACATTTATAGAAGCATAAAACGGCGGAAAACGCGGAGGAGAACGCGGCCTCTGGCTGCGAACCGACGTCCCCACTTCCGGTTTCACGCGAGCAACAACGCGATAGGCATTCGCGTTTCACGGACGAGCGGCAATTGTCTTGTCATACACACACACACACACACACGTGGGAAATACAAAATACGAGGAAACTTAGAGGCGGTGCAAATCGCTTTGTTTTCATGATACACGGCTCTTAATTGCGCAAGATTTAATTCTCGAACTTCTTGTCTTTTCTAATGAAAAAATAATGCAGCGTATTTTATTCGCGTTTAAAAGATCGAAAATTAAATTGCTGCTTTCGTCCAAAATATGATGGACGAAATATTTCAACTCTCGACAAGTTTCCTTTCGTTAAATTCTTCGTCCGAATACGCTCGTGAAATAATTTAATTTCGAACAACGAGAATGTATCGAAAGGTAATAAAGATATCGATTATCCTCCGCTTTATTTCATTCACAAATGAATTCCGTCCCGGATTGATTCATTACGAAACAAAAAAAAAAAAAAAAAAAAAAATCGAACGACACGTGCAAAGTGTCTATATAAATTGTCGTTCGATTGATACGTTCGATTCTAAACTAGACGCGATTCGTAATACAGAAGAGAAACATTTGCACTCGTGTTAATCAGCGATAATGCGCGAGGTGTGATGATCAATTCGGGGCCCAATAAAATCATTTTAATCGGCTGACAAGCGCGATACCCGCTTATATACCAATTCCATGAAAGCTACATAAAATATCGGCATAAAAATTATTGCCCCCGAACTACGGGGTTAAACGACGCTTTTCGTCGTTATTAAAATAAATTTTCACGCGCTATCTATCCGGCCATCAAATCATTTTTCCTGCAAACGATTTATTAAAAATAAATTCGCTTATACTCGATTTCAATTATCGAAATCGAATTCGAGCAGGTATCGATCGATGATACCTTTGCAACGATCGAGAATCGAAAAATTTCTCGATTATTTATACATTTTGAATGCACCGATAAATCTCCAACATATCTTTGTATTACGTTTCTTTCGACGCTTCGAATCAAACGACTGGCGTAGACTAAAGAAAGAGAGAGATTCTATTCGGTTCAAACGTCGAAGAAAAATGGAATGTTTGTGGGAGAGATAATCCGTGCAACCGGGTCAAGCGACCTCCTCTTATTATTGTGCAATGTGCTTATATATTCGTTCCTTCTTTGAATCTTCTTTCTAATTGGACGAGAGGGAATATATTTTTGTACAATCGTGAAGCGGTTAGAGAATTTTTATCCATAGATCGTCTTATTATTACTGTATCACGTATATCGATTAATTAATCAATATTCGAACGTACACCACTCGTTTATATAGAAAAATTAACGAACGAATCGAAATATTTCGTATCTTCGAAAGAAAAGAAAAATATATATATATTCGAGACACAACGATATCTCTTCGATCCCAAAAATGAAAATTCGCGATACGATTTATCACGTTGAATTTCCACGAATCACACGTGACGAAGTTTTGCCCGATAAACGGGAACCGATAAACCGACCTCTCCTCCCCCGCGAAACAAGAGGACCCCAAGATGCACGCTTCTCAAGGGGAGGCGGCCCCTAAAATAATTCAGGACTCCCGAGGCGAGGTCGGCTCCCTTGCGAGCATTCCTCGAGAATCTACGAAAATACGATTCCCGGCAAATGTCTACTTTGTTACCGGCTCTCGCTATAAATAGACCCAAACGGCCTTGGTCAACCTTCCTCCTCGAGTTCGTCGACATCGATAACCGGTACTACTCCTCCTCGTCGTCGTCGTCGTCGTCGTCGTCGTCGTCGAGTCGGCCGACACTTCGAACGTGCTTCTGTGTCG